GGGAGGAGGCATCTTTTTCATTATCGCTATGTATTCGTTAGACGGTGCTCTTTTTTGTATTGCTGGGCATTCGATAAAGCACATCTGACATATTTCAAGCTTCTCACAGATTTTGAAATTTGTTGTATTGTTCAGCTGGCGGAATGCAGTGATTCTCTGGGTGAACATTTTGCCGATTATGATATTTTCACGGTGACGCTGAAAAGGCCGGCAAGCAATCCGGAGGGCTCGGTGGGTGTGATCCTGAGTTCTGCTGCCTCTGGTGACAAGTACATCACGGTTAGTTTTTCGAGCGTGAACTCTCTCTCTCTCTCGCAGAAAATCCTTCGAATTTTCCAAAAAACTTCCTCCTCCTTCACTTTCAGCTTCTGTCGAAGCTGTCGTCTGTTTTTTAGTATTTTGTATGGAAATTTAAGTGGTATGTGCATTTGCAGGTGCAGAGGGTGATTTCGGGCAGTATTGCGGATCGAAGCAATCTCATCGAGAAGGGCGACCGAGTGTTCTTTGTGCAGGGCCATTCCGCGAAACAGGTACTACCCACGCCTTTTCACCTCCCGTATTCATTAATCAGTGAAGTAGAAGTGCAGTTTTCTTCACTTCAGATGACGGCAGCTGATGCTCGAATTTTGATTAAGCAGCGCACCGAACATGTCGTTTTTGTGCTTGGCCGACTGAAGACAGCAACCGATCAAGCGCTCGCCGGACCGGCCGCATTCGTTTCCACCGGTAATGCCCTTGTTTAGCGTTTGGGGGGTTGATAAGAAGTCTATGATGAGTCGATCCGCCTTGAGGAGGATGTTGCATACATCACACATGGTAGAGCATCGAATTCGGGACTGGTTGGCGCGATGCCTTTGACTCATATATTCCTACCAGGAATAGTAGTTATCAGCGACTGGAACATGATGAAATGTTTCTCTTCTCTCTACTACGTTTGGGTGTACGCATGCTGGTAGTATCATTCGTCTGTGCTTCTCTTTCTGAGAATCTGCACAGATTGTACCGCCTCGTTTTCCTTCTAAGCCGTTTCTCCATCTTCGAAGGGGGAGAGGCCTTATTGTGCGGCAGCGATCCCATGCTTGACATCGAAAACCTGCGAAAAACCGGCAAGGAAGAAGACGTCACAAAGAAAAAATGCCTAGTACGTATGAGAGATAGCAAAAAAGAGCTCGCGCTCCTGAAAGGCAAATACGCAGTAGATGTATTGGCAGGATAACATTGGAGCACAAGGACCGATGGTGTGATGGGAAGGACGTCGCGTTCGGATGTGAACGAGAGTAGTTCGACTTTCTCCTGGTCTATGAATATTTTTGAGAAGGGGCTCCAGTGACGGCGTCTTTATCAGCTTGAGATCAGCAGGAATCAGCTGAGACTGTCCATCGCTTTGAGCCATCGCTGCAGTTCCAGACTCCATAACAGTCGTGTACACTGTTGAGCTCACGACTTTAACAGTTTGGCACACGAATGATTCAGGACCTCGTCACTAGAAAACACTCCTTGCGCTGCCGAAACTTAGGACTGCTTGGTGTCCCGTAGTCTTTTAGCAAAATTTTTAGAGTCTCTCTGTTTATCGTTAAACATGAAATTAATGTTCAAGCATCAGCAGAGGGATGTCAC